AAAAAAAAAAAAAAAAAAATTAACCCTAATCTGTTTGTTACCACATCCAGCGCTACCACCATCCAAGGTACCATACTCCCTCAGTCGGATTATTTAAGCCCGCTCCTGACTGGTCTCTCTGTGTCTGCTTTTGCCCCCTACAATGTGTCGTCAACATAGCAGCCAGAGCGTGTCTTAAAACTGTGTGTTAGCCCTGACGCTTCTCTTTGCGGAGCCCGTTAACGGCTTCCTGTCTCGAGAGCCCACCACGGCGCCTTGCTGGGCCCCACGTGACACGCTGCCTCCCTGATCTGCTCCTCCTCTCACGGCTCTGCTTGCAGCAGCGCTGGGCTCTCGCTCATCCTTACACGTGCCAGGCGCACTCTTGCCCCTGAGCCTTTGCACTTGCTGATCCCCTTGCTCGGAAGCCCTGGGAGCAAATACTCACCAGGCTCCCTCCCTCCACCTCCTGGTCCCTGCCCACGCGTTACCTCCTCAGTGAGGCCTTCCCTGACTCCCCTACTCAAAATACATCCTCCCTGCACCCGCATCCCCTCGCCCCCTCTTCCCTGCTTTCCTCCATGGCACTGCTCACCCTGTGACATTCTGTGTATTTTGCTTTTCCCTTGGTTGTCTCTCTCCTCCCACAGAATGTAAATCTATGTGAGCAGAGGTTTTTGTCTGTTTGTTGTACCTACAACAGTGCCTGGCACGTGAAAGCCCACAAGTGGTCAAAACAAACGAATGACTGTGTCGCGGGTTCCAGCATCCACGTTGGTGTTAACACTTGGTCGTGGTCATCTCACACTCTCGTAGGCGCCACCTTCAGTCCTGCCTTCTTGGATGAGAGGCTCAGGTCTTGCAGGGCCCTGCTCTGGGGCACCGTGCTCTCTGCTCCTAGGGCTCACCTGCTCTCTAACCATTTTTGCCTTGTGCCAGTAGTGACGCCACATCTTCTGGCTTGTGGTTGATGTTCCTTTCGTTGGTTTGAGGAGTTATATTATAAGTAGGCTTCTGGTTACCTGTGACTGGGATAAGTGAATGTTATCCCTTAAATACAGTTTCTTTCGGTTTATTTTAATTAAGTGAAAGTGACTCTGAGATTCACATTTTTGTGCGCACTACCTGCGTTCATTTCTGGCTTTGTTTGGTTAGGTGGGTGTCCACTATGAACTGACCGAAGAAGAGAAATTCTACCGGAATGCTCTAACACGGATGCCAGACGGCCCCGTTGCCCTGGAGGAATCCTATTCTGCAGTCATGGGCATCGTAACTGAAGTCGAGCAGTATGTCAAGGTGAGAAGCTAATTTCATTCAAATATGTTGTCTTACACACTTAGGAGTATGAGATTTAATGGAGGTGGAGCTAAAAGGTCTTGACTATGTGTAATGTGAACGATGAGGTAATATCTGCTGTCTTAAAACAAGGAGTGAACAATAGGGCAAACCTTGTGGGATATTAGTCATTTTGGAGAACAGGAAACTATTCTCTTTTGATAGGAAAACTCTGAGAATTTGAAGTGAGAGTTTTCCTAACGGCGATGAAAGAACATGAGACTTTTAACAGAGTATGAAAATATATGTTAATATTTTACAAAATGAAAAGTCAAACTGTAGTGTTTAACTATGTCCTTCACTTGCAGGTGTGGCTTCAGTATCAGTGTCTGTGGGACATGCAAGCTGAGAACATCTATAACAGACTCGGGGAAGATCTCAACAAGTGGCAGGCTCTCTTGGTGCAGATAAGGAAGGCCCGAGGAACATTTGACAATGCAGAGACCAAGAAAGAGTTTGGACCAGTAGTCATAGATTACGGCAAGGTGAGCTCTGCTGTCTCACTGAAAGGTGTCCGGGGAGCTGGGACGGCAACGTCTGACTACAGTGAAGGTGAGGCATAAGCACTCCGGTGCGAAAGACTTGCTCACGTGCTGTCGTGTGCTCCCACCTGCAGGTCCAATCCAAGGTGAACTTGAAGTACGACTCTTGGCATAAGGAGGTCCTCAGCAAATTTGGGCAGATGCTCGGCTCAAACATGACAGAGTTCCACTCCCAGATCTCCAAGGTGAGGAGGCAGGATGCTGCCGGTGTGATGAACCCCCTGGTGCCCCTCGGCTCTCCGCTAAACGCTCTGCTCTCTCCGGACAGTCTCGCCAGGAGCTGGAGCAACACTCCGTGGACACGGCCAGCACCTCCGACGCTGTGACCTTCATCACCTACGTGCAGTCTCTGAAACGGAAGATCAAGCAGTTTGAAAAGCAAGTCGAGGTGAGCTCTGTCCCTCACTGTGTCTCAGGTGGGGTCTACGGTGCGTCTCTGTCGTGCCCCTGCTGTGCTTGTAAGGGTGGGCAGGTGATTCTTAGGCACTTCAGGGTTTGAGAACCACAGGCTCCTGTCTTTTAAAATCTTTTGCTGTAGTTGTGGACCTTCAAGTCCTCAAACTTGAATTACCCTCTCATAATTTGGAAGGAGGGTGTGACGCCCAGCTCTAGCACGCTTAGACCCTCCTCAGGGCCACCCAGTGCAGCCAGGAGCAGTCACGGGACTGCGCCGTCGGGAGGGGAGCACGTGTGTCCCGTAGCCGCGGGGTGCCTTCCCGTTCGGCAGTCTCTGCTGCCTTTGTGAAGGAAAGTGCTCTTTCTTCTATAACCCTCAAAGCTCTACCGCAATGGCCAGCGCTTGCTGGAAAAGCAAAGGTTCCAGTTCCCACCTTCCTGGCTTTACATTGACAACATTGAGGGAGAGTGGGGTGCCTTCAACGACATCATGCGGCGGAAGGACTCTGCCATCCAGCAGCAGGTGGCGAACCTGCAGATGAAGATCGTCCAGGAGGACCGGGCTGTGGAGAGCCGCACCTCCGACCTGCTGACCGACTGGGAGAAGACCAAGCCTGTCACGGTGAGTCTCACCCCCGGCGCCGCAGCTTCTCCCGAGCCGGCAGCAGGTGACCTGGCGTCTCTGCTTTCAGAGACTTAAAAGGCCCTGCCATGGGGCCTCCCTGGTGGCGCAGTGGTTGAGAGTCCGCCTGCCGATGCAGGGGATACGGGTTCGTGCCCCGGTCCGGGAGGATCCCACATGCCGCGGAGCGGCTGGGCCCGTGAGCCATGGCAGCTGAGCTTGCGCGTCCAGCAACGGGGAAGGCCACGACAGTGAGAGGCCCACATATCACAAAAAAAAAAAGGCCCTGCCATGGCTTAGCTTTCCAGAATGAAGACTTTTCCCTGTAATTAAAAGGAGCAGTACTTGCAGGTAGTGGATTTGAAAACACGAAAGCCGACTTAGACCTCCTCGTGACAGTCACTTAAGTCAGGGAATTGTTTTAAAGACTAACGTTTTTCTGTTTGTAAGTTATCCTCTTACTTAGGCATAGTCAGAAGTTAGAATTTCCTTTCTCGTGGACACAGGCCAAGAGTCCCGCTGCCGCCACTGCTAGGTCTGCGCAGCCGGGGGCAGCCCTGAACTCTGACATCATTGTCGCGGTTGTTAAGGCTTTCTGTACCAGGACCTGCCACACCCTGGTCTCTGGGTTCATTCAAGTACTTATTGAGCACCGACTATATTCTGGGCAGCAGAGATACAGCGGTGACCAGGAAGGAGCCCTACCTGCATGGAGTTATGCTCCACTGGGGCACGGAGGGTAAAGAGTGAACGAGAAGAACGTGTGTTTTAAGTCAGATGGTGATACGTGCCGCGGGAAAGGGGTGTTGGTGCTTTCCTGCTCTGCTGGGGGTTGACATGTGGAGGCTGAGGGAGGGGCTGGCAAGCGTGCCGTGGCCGAGGGGGCGTCCAGGCAGGGGGACGGCCAGTGTGGGGCTCAGGCACGAAGGTCACGGCCTGCCTGGCTCACTGGGTGGAATTCAAACTTAGACATACACGTACGCATAGAAGGGGAAGGGTTTTGAAATGCTCTGAACGTCAGTCTGGTTTTGTAGTGTGGATGGAGGTTCTCCGCACCAGTCCTGGGGGCTGATTTGGCTGCCCCACGTCTACTGGGTTGGCCTCTGTGCTGCTGGGCCCAAGGTCCTGCCTTGTGTTTCATTTTGGCTGAGGGGCCCCGCTGTTAAGCAGGCTTGTGCTTTTGCTAATGCCAGAGCTTCCAGGCTCTGCAGGGGAGTGAGTACTGATCACTAGACAAGAGTGTGATCACCTGAATTTGCATATCTTTTGTTGCCTCACCTTGCTAGTAATGTGTTATAGTGAAAACTTTGATGTTTTGTGTAGTCATTCTCAAAGGTTATCAGAATGGAAAGGAAGCGTGTAAACAGTGTTAAGGCTGAAGTAGAGCCTCCTCCAGTGAGAACAGTGCTTTCCTTTTCATTCTTCTCTCGGTAACGGATACGGATAGACAACTCCGCACCTCAAGGAGGGCGTGGCTGGCAGCCCCAAGCACGCCGTCCCCTCGGTCAGGAGTGTCCTGCTCCAGGCCCAGGTCTGTCCTGACTCTTCTCTTCCGTCTCCCTCGGCACTTAGTGAGGGGATGGCTGAGTCGAGAGGTGCTCCACCTTCCCTGTGTCAAGCCTGGAGGTACAAGTTCATCCAGTAATGGACGTGCATCATCAGTGTACAGCTTTTGAATGTTTACATATGTAGACGTGTTCAAGGAATCACAAATTCTAGAAGCCCAGCAGGCCCCCTCCACCGTTGCAGAGCCAGAGCTCGTCTGTCCTGAGCCCCGGCTCTGATCCTCTGGCCTTCCTTGACTGCTTCAGGGCAATCTTCGCCCGGAGGAGGCGCTGCAGGCTCTCACCATATATGAAGGAAAGTTCGGCAGGCTGAAGGACGACAGGGAGAAGTGTGCGAAGGCCAAGGAGGCGCTGGAACTGACAGATACGGGACTTCTCGGTGGCAGCGAAGAGCGCGTCCAGGTACGAGCCGCTCCAGCGGGCAGCTGGGGCCAGGCCCCTCGTGCTCATGCTGCCTCTGGCCCGCAGTGTCTCAAGAGCCCTGGGGTGGTTCTGCTTCCAAGTTCAGCTGCTTTACTCTGCTTCATCGCAGGTGGCCTTAGAGGAGCTACAGGACCTCAAAGGCGTTTGGTCAGAGCTCTCTAAGGTCTGGGAGCAGATCGATCAGATGAAGGAGCAGCCATGGGTTTCAGTGCAGCCTCGGAAGGTACGTGGAGCTACCGGTAGCTGTTATGTACGCGCCTTCACGCACTGAAAGTTGTAGGCGTCACCTAGAAACTCGGCAAGCGAGGAACTGTTAGAGTTCACAAAATGTCACTTGATGGTCGTTTACATTATTCATCCAGATTAATGTAAAATTTCTCTTGAAACCATTTTAAAACTATTTCATCGTTTAAAGGAATGTTGGCAAACTAAATACCATCTTGTGTTTCTCTTGACAGCTTCGGCAAAATTTAGATGGCCTCTTGAACCAGCTAAAAAACTTCCCCGCTCGATTACGGCAGTACGCATCCTACGAGTTTGTCCAGAGGCTTCTGAAAGGTTACCTCAAGGTCGGTGACTCAGAGCTGCGGTCACAGATGTCCGCTAGAAACACGCCGCACGGGTAACACGGCTCCCTCTCTCCACAGATAAACATGCTGGTGATTGAACTGAAATCCGAAGCACTTAAAGATCGCCACTGGAAACAGCTGATGAAACGGCTTCATGTAAACTGGGTTGTTTCTGAGCTGACCCTCGGCCAGATCTGGGACGTTGACTTGCAGAAAAATGAAGCGGTTGTCAAGGACGTGCTGCTTGTAGCACAGGGGGAGATGGCTTTGGAGGAATTTTTGAAGCAGGTAAGTAATAGGCTGATGGGCATTCCATATCTTGTTTCAGGCTGTGACATAGACTGACGTAGATTTGAGCCTCATATGTGGTCCCTTTTGTCTCCATTACACTCGGTCACTTGTGTGGCTGGCGAACGCCCACATACTGATGATGTGCCTCTTTCGGTTTCAATTCAGATAAGAGAAGTGTGGAATACTTACGAATTAGACTTGGTTAACTATCAGAACAAGTGTCGCCTGATCCGAGGCTGGGACGACCTCTTCAACAAGGTCAAAGAGCACATCAACAGCGTGTCCGCCATGAAGCTGTCTCCATATTATAAGGTACCGCTGTGGGGAGGTGTCCCTCCCGCACATCCACTGTTGTACCTTCAGACTTACAGGCAGGGCCTTCCCTGGCGGTCCACCGATTAAGACTCTACGCTTTCACTGCAGGGGGCACAGGTTCAGTCCCTGTAGGGGAACTAAGATCCAGCATGCCGTGTGGCCAAAATAAATAGATTTAAAAAAAATAATTAAAAAATAAAAATGGCCAGACTCACAGTTCCCAGGTGCCTCTGGTAGAAAATGTGAGTCACACAACTTGACTGGATCTTTATCTGCATATTGGCGTGAGTCCTGGTGTATCTGAGAGTGGAGAGTTTAGCAGTTGAGCTCTGCCTTCCATCCACCCGCTAGGTGTTTGAAGAGGATGCCCTGAGCTGGGAAGACAAACTGAACCGGATCATGGCTCTCTTCGACGTGTGGATCGATGTGCAGAGGCGCTGGGTCTACCTGGAGGGCATCTTCACGGGCAGCGCAGACATCAAACACCTGCTGCCAGTGGAAACCCAGCGGTTCCAGAGGTACAGCCTCGAGCCGGGACGGAGGGCTGAAGGGTAGGCTTGGCTGGTAACAACCCTTTGCACGAAGGCTGACGTTAACCTCGCTTTTAATTTGATTTGTAGTATCAGCACGGAATTCTTGGCTCTCATGAAAAAAGTATCCAAGTCTCCCCTGGTCATGGATGTTCTGAACATCCAGGGGGTACAGAGGTCTCTGGAGAGATTAGCAGACCTGCTAGGAAAGATCCAGAAAGCCCTGGGAGAGTACCTGGAAAGAGAGCGCTCATCTTTCCCCAGGTGAGAGGGTGGTTTTTACGGGGACTGAAGGGATGGTCAGCTCCGGCGCCTCCTTCCCACCCCTCCCTCCCTCCTGGCCTGTGTGTTGGTCACTCTGATGTCAAGGGTTTTGTTACCAGTAACCGATTTAGTGAATACCGTTTCTCCTTCATCCATTGATTCCTAATTGTAACAAATAATCCTTAATTTTCTACCGTGGGTTCATTTACTAAGCCTCATTTACACTATTATTCACCCTCCCAGGCAGCTAGCGTCTCTTAAAAATTTATCTGTGATTCTTTTTTTTTTTTTTTGGCCACACTGTGTGGCGTGTGGAACTTCCCTGACCAGGGATCGAACCCGTGCCCCCTGTGGTGGAAGCACGGAGTCTTAACCACTGGACCACCAGAGAAGTTGTATTTTATTTTCTAAGTGGCATTCTTTTCTTTGTGAATAGTTTACTTAGTATAAATAGAGCAGGTTTTTTTAAAATTCCTAAGGTGAGGTGAATTATATGAAATCCATTGAATTTCTCTTCAGGATCTTGTTAGGTGAGTGTGTATCTTTTGCTGAGGGCTGGAAGAAATTCGGATGTGATCTGATTCAGGCTGGAGGCGGTCCATCACAATCCATATCCACTTTCCTTTCCTGTACAATTTGAAGTTTTGCCTTGATTCCCCTTATTTGTGTATATGTAATGTTTTAGCAACTTACATGCTATTTTAATTTTAGGTTTTATTTTGTGGGTGACGAAGATTTGCTTGAAATCATTGGAAACAGTAAGAATGTAGCTAAGTTACAGAAACATTTCAAGAAAATGTTTGCTGGTGTTTCGAGCATCATCCTAAATGAAGACAACTCTGTCGTCCTGGGCATCTCATCCCGTGAAGGAGAGGAGGTAGTTAGTTACATTTATTGATTGTAACTGAGAAAACCTCACTCCCATCTTTGCGCACTTTAATTCTTAGAGTTTCTTTATTTCAGGTTATGTTTAAAACTCCCGTGTCAATTACTGAACATCCCAAAATCAACGAGTGGCTCACCCTAGTCGAGAAGGAGATGAGAGTCACGCTGGCCAAACTCCTTGCTGAGTCTGTTACGGAAGTTGAGATTTTTGGTAAAGCAACTTCAATTGACCCAAATACCTACATCACCTGGATTGACAAATACCAGGTACTGTCCAGCAGAAGGGGGACAGTCTGAAGGTGAGGGCACTGGCTGATCTTTAAAACCATCCTTTTGGGTCTTGTGTGCCGTGTCTCCCAGGCCCAGCTCGTGGTCCTGTCAGCCCAGATTGCCTGGTCTGAGAACGTGGAGACGGCGCTGAGCAGCGTCGGTGGGAGCGGCGACACGGCCCCCCTGCACTCCGTGCTCAGCAACGTGGAGGTCACCCTCAACGTGCTGGCCGACTCGGTCCTCATGGAGCAGCCGCCGCTCCGGAGACGCAAGCTGGAGCACTTGGTTAGTCCCTTTCCTCCCAGCCAGGTTCCTGGGCCTTCGCCTCGGACAGTTGAAAGAACTCACGCTTGAAAAAGATCCTAATTGGTGTCAGGGAGAAAAACAAGTGATGGCCTGTTGACAAACGCTGGGGTGTGTACTTGGCTCTCTGGTACTGTTGAAAGGCCATCTTGGGGGACAGGAGTTAGCACACACGACCTCCTGACACAAAGGGGTGACACTCGTGCCTCTGGGTCTTTCACACTCTCGGCCTCTCCTTCCCAAAGAACATGTCCCGTGGCGGACCGGCCCAGCGTGTCTCTGAGCCCGAGCTGCTTGCCGCCGCTGGGCTTTGCGCCCCCGTGTGCCGCAAGCAGATGGACCGTCAGGACAGAGATAGCTCTTCTCCCGTCACGTTTCATGCTGGTTGCAACTAGCAGAGTTTTTGTTTGTTTCTTTGTTTTTGCTGCAGCTCTCGATTCTGTGTAATTCCATCGTGTGAATAAGTTTTACTGTTTTTAAAAGTGAACGACAGTTCTGTTGTTCTTAAAAGTGAATGTTTACACTGTAACTGAACCTAGAATCTCAATTTAAAAGTCTACTAAATAACCCCCACACCCCGAGGATACGCTTATGTACTTTACTTTACATACTTCAATTCATGAAATGTACTTTCTGATAAGCTCTTTAAAGTGACTCTTTCTTCAGATTACAGAGTTGGTTCACCAGAGAGATGTCACCAGGTCCTTGATCAAGAGCAAGATCGACAACGCCAAGTCTTTCGAGTGGCTCAGCCAGATGCGATTTTACTTTGACCCTAAGCAAACCGATGTGTTGCAGCAATTGTCGATTCAAATGGCAAATGCCAAGTTTAACTATGGCTTTGAGTACCTGGGTGTCCAGGACAAGCTGGTCCAGACCCCCCTCACCGACCGCTGCTACTTGACAATGACACAGGCCTTGGAGGCCAGGTTGGGCGGGTCCCCCTTCGGTGAGTCCCTCCCCACACCTGAACAGGTGGAGTCAGATAGGAAATGTACTTTTCCAAGATTAAGCAAATGATCTAAATGTATTTCTTAACTGCGTGGCTGGTACCTTCTAAAACTTGAAATCCGTTGGCGGCTATCACATTTATAGTTGACCCTTGAACAACACTGATTTGAACTGTGTGAGTCCACTTAGACACAGAGTTGTTTTAATAGATAGGCAGTTGGCCCTTCGTGTTCACCGGTTTCACATCCTCAGATTGAACCAACCATGGATTAAAGTTTCCATCCGAGGTTGGTTGAATCCATGGATGCAGAACCTGTGGATACGGAGGGCCAACTATTGGACTCGAGGGTCCATGGATTTGGGTAGACGCAGGGGTCCTGGACCAGTCCACATGGAGACCGAGGGATGATTGTACTTTGGTTTTTTTAAATGAATTGCTTTTTACAGTTCTTAAAACTAAAGGTGTGTTCTTATTTGAGTTCTCAGTTCCTTTTCTTCAAACAATAGGGCCTGCTGGGACTGGGAAGACTGAGTCTGTCAAAGCTCTCGGCCATCAGCTTGGACGCTTTGTTTTAGTTTTCAACTGTGATGAAACCTTTGACTTCCAGGTGAGAAGCTCTGTGGGAACCACCTAGAGTTAAGGGCCTGAGAGGGCTGGGTGGGGAATAGCAGGCCGCACCTCTCAGAGCTGTGTTGGCCTTACAGCACAGCATGGTCCTTTGGGGACAGGGTTACTTGAGCTGTTGGAGGTTCCCAGCACGTGCTTGACACCGACTTGAGCTTCACGTCTTCAAATTCTTCAAACTCCTCAGTGTAACATATCTTTCCGGTGTCTATGTCTGGGAATAAACAGATATTATGGGAAAGGTTTTTTAAACAACGTGTTAACCTTGTCATTGGGATTTTATTGGCACAGGAGGAAAAATGATACATTACATCTGTACCACTGTTTATGAGGCACTTGACCTGTGGGGCTGGGCTCCTTGCCTCACCTGTGAAGCTGATGCCACCTTCACAGCCCCTCCCACCCCACCCCCCACCCTGGGAGGAAGACGATATTGTTCCCATTTCAAAGATGAGCAGACAAGGGTTTCAAGATGTGATTTGCCCAGGGTGGGGCCAGTCATCCAAGCCAGAATCGGAGCCCCGTACAGCCAGCACCACAGCTGTGGTTTCAGCTCCCTTCCCTTCTTCTTGTTTCAGGCGATGGGACGGATCTTTGTGGGGCTTTGCCAGGTGGGCGCGTGGGGCTGCTTTGACGAGTTCAACCGCCTGGAGGAGCGGATGCTGTCGGCCGTGTCCCAGCAGGTGCAGTGCATCCAGGAGGCACTGCGCGAGCACTCCAGCCCCAGCTACGATAAGAGTGAGACCAGCTTCTCCTTACAGTTGCCTGGAGGGCGCAGAGGGGGCCGCCTCTTTGATTAGAAAGAAGCGAGACTTTAACGTAGCTCCAGGACTCGCTGCTGCAGGTGGTGCAGTGCATCCTGAGTGAAGACAGGTGGTAGGGCCCAGGGTAACGCTGCACCCCTCGTCCCAGAGCAGCCCCGCGGAGCCATCAGTCCTTCCCCTGTAGCAGAGTCCCCGTGCTCCCTCCCCCGGCGTCTGCACACAACACAGGTTTGAGCCGCTCGGGGCCCCCCGCATTCCCCTCCTCCTCCCTGCATCCTACAGAGCCAGGCCTCCTGGCCAGAGTGTTGGGAACAAGCCCTCATCACGGTGGGAGTGCCTGATCGGAGGGCCCCGGGAACTTGTTGCGCACACAGCCTGGGCTCGTGAGCTGGAGGACGTAAATAAATACATCCACGTTGGAGAGTTTACCTTTTAAAGTTCCCTTTTTTTCCATAATAACGGTAACTCATCTTACCAGACCTCCTAAATAAAACAAAAGGAGTGTCAAATCAGTACCTGTGTACTCCATGTTCCATGTTCTCTTATGGAGGAAGTCTGATCCCTAAGTAGTCCAGGGATGGGGGGCGGGGAGGCTGTTTATTTTGTGTTTTCCTTTGATGACCCTAGGAGAGGGTCATTCTCGTGACCTCAGCCGGTCAGTTTTGTCACAACATGGATTGGTTTTTATTTCTGCAACTATTGTTGGGCTGTGTTTCTATTCTTGCATTGACCTTGTGACGCTCAGTAATGCACAAATAGTGGGCTTCCTGCCTCTGGGACTTGATCCGTTACACATTCGGACGGCTTTTGTGTGGGTGAAGTGGGTGAAGATGGGCCTGCCTGGGCCGGTGGGCATCGTGTCTGGTGAGAGCCTCCAGCTCCCCTGGAGTCCTGGGCCAGCAGGGAGATGGGTGCTTGCTCTGCAGTTTTAGAGAGATTTTGGAGTGGTGTTTTGACTCTCACGAGTCTTAACACCATCCTCCGATTTTCAGCCTCTGCCCCCATTACTTGTGAGCTGCTGAACAAACAAGTCAAGGTGAGCCCAGACATGGCCATCTTCATCACCATGAACCCCGGCTACGCGGGCCGGTCGAACCTTCCAGACAACTTGAAGAAGCTGTTCCGGAGCCTGGCCATGACCAAGCCCGACCGGCAGCTCATCGCCCAGGTCATGCTGTACTCCCAGGGCTTCCGCACCGCCGAGGTCCTTGCCAACAAGATCGTCCCGTTCTTCAAGTGAGTCACTTAGAGTTATTCCGAATCGTGTTTCTGGCACGCGTCAAGTGTGCCATTTAAAGTCTACCTGTGTAGTTACGACACTACCTTCCACGTATCCGTCTCTGATTTCTTGATGTTCGATGCTCTTGGTGCTCAAAGTGTACTGTATTTTAAGAAAACCCCCTCTCTTTTAGACTATGCGATGAGCAGCTCTCTTCTCAAAGCCACTACGACTTTGGTCTCCGAGCCTTGAAGAGCGTGCTGGTGAGCGCCGGAAACGTGAAGCGGGAGCGGATCCAGAAGATCAAGAGGGAGAAGGCGGAGCGCGGCGAGGCGGTGGACGAAGGAGAAATCGCGGAGAATCTCCCTGAGCAAGAGGTGGGCGAGGCGCCCCTAACCGCTCAGGCCCAGACTCTGCTTGTATCACCCTTTGCCACCCTGAAGTCATGCCTGGAGGGCTCTCACTGTGGCTCACGTGCCCCGGGGTGAACGGAGGGGACCCGCATTTGACGGGAAGCCTGGGGGTGGGGACGGGGCGCTGGGCCTCACTGCTTGCTCACGGGACAGCTGTGCTGTGGGTCCTCCGGGGACAGGGCAGTAGATGTGGAGCCGCCCCCCCCCCGACTTCCCGCCACAGAGCTCATCGCCTTCTCCCCACGCAGATCCTGATCCAGAGCGTCTGTGAGACGATGGTGCCAAAGCTGGTGGCAGAAGACATCCCGCTGCTTTTCAGCCTCTTGTCGGACGTGTTCCCCGGGGTCCAGTATCACCGGGGCGAGATGACAGCGCTGAGGGAGGAGCTCAAGAAAGTGTGCCAGGAGATGTACCTGACATACGGAGACGGAGAAGAAGTCGGCGGGATGTGGGTTGAAAAGGTAGCTGGGATCGTGGTGTTGGCTGGCGCCTCACAACCCCGCAGGCGGCCGCGAGCGGTAACGACGGCCGTGGACTTGGTGGAGAAGCCACGTCTTACGGGGCTTCGTCCACCAGGGGCGTCGTCTGGTTTGTGGAGATTTGCCCCAAGTCCTGTTAGGATTTTTTTCTTAACTTGAGAGTAGTGATAGGGAAACTTACCTGAAATTTTCAATTATGTGGTACAGTTCTCTGAAAATGCTGGCTAAAAGGGGATCATGATGAAAACCGGCTATGGCAGTAAAAGGTCTGCTTACAAGACTTTCCAGTACCACGATTAACGACGTAAATGTGCTAATCGATAGGGTTTACGTTCTGTATCGACTTCTTTCCTTTATCTCCTCTGAGATTCACTTAAGAAAAAGCGTGTCACGTGCACAAGCTGTGCGTGCTGACCCTCAGCTGCGGTCCTGGGTTAGACAGGCGGCTCGTTCATCTGGTGTCTGTCCTCCCGGCAGGGCACCTCAGGGTTCTCTCCTGAGGCAGCTCGGTGAGCGTCTCCTGACTCAGTCAGACAGCTCCACAGTTCAGTTAAAACCCTCTGTATTTGCTGTGCTGTGGCCAGTTGAAGGTCTCTCTGGTTAGAAAGTCCCAGTACTTGCCTTGGAAGAGTCACAGCACACGTCTCTTGCTCGACGGTGGGAGAAGTGGTGAGGAACCTTCCACCTTCTTTCTCTGGAGTGCTTACCGTGCTGGTCGGTCTGGCCCTCAGGTTCTCCAGCTCTATCAGATCACCCAGATCAACCACGGCCTGATGATGGTGGGGCCCTCGGGCAGCGGGAAGAGCATGGCCTGGCGCGTTCTTCTGAAGGCTCTGGAGAGGCTCGAGGGTGTGGAGGGCGTGGCCCATATCATCGACCCTAAAGCCATCAGCAAAGACCACCTGTACGGAACCCTGGACCCCAACACCAGGGAATGGACAGATGGGCTGTTCACACATGTTCTGAGAAAGTAAGTGCACTTGGGTGGGTGTCTGCACTCCGGAGAACTGGGACCTAGGCACTCTGTCCTCATGGTAACAGCGTACGTTATTCTTCTTGCCACGCTCTGGACAAATTAAAGTCACTTTAGAAACCGCTACAGGCTGAGCGTTTTCAACCTCAGTCACCCGCTGCTGTAAAATCCTCCCATACCAGGATCATCGACAACGTGAGGGGGGAGCTGCAGAAGCGCCAGTGGATCGTCTTTGATGGCGATGTGGATCCCGAGTGGGTGGAGAACTTGAACTCGGTGCTGGATGACAACAAGCTGCTGACCCTGCCCAACGGAGAGCGCCTCAGCCTTCCGCCCAACGTACGAGGCTAAGTATCCTGCCCCGACTGCCTGGCGTGCAGCCGGGGGAGCAGCTCCGGCCTCTGTGGCAGCAGTCAGTGTCGGGGCCTCTCTGTGCTACATTCTTTCCATTCCTGTGGCTGGTGAGAAATGTTTTCAAAGCGTTCATTCATGACTTTCCACCATTTGCTGAACATTAAGCCTACTCCGTAATTCCCGGGCAGCCTTTCCTACAACTCCGTGAGGTGAGGGTGTAGTTAGGATTTCTGGGAAGTGGCAGAACAAAGGATTTAGATGTGGACGCTTTCAGGGTCATCTCTTGGAAATGAGCACTTGATCCAGGTCCTGACCAAGCCCCCTGACAGAGCGGTAAACAGGGGCAGGCCTGGCCTGGGCATGCGTTCATACTTTGACCCCACGTTTCTAGAGTTCCGTCGTGTGCCGGGCCTTGTTCTAGATGCTGAAAATGTAGCTGTAAACAACACGGACAAAACCCCTGCTCTCCTGGGGCTCCCAGTCTGAGGTGGGAGACAGACGGGATAAGCGGTGACGGGGCTGCGGAGGAAGTACACTGGAGGAGAGCCAGGGCTGGAGCGGCGCCTGCGGCTCCCGGGGACGCCGAGG